ACCCGATCACGTGTCCAGTTCGAGTCAACCCTAAACCCGGTATTACGCAATAACTCGCTTTAACTCGTCAATGGATAGCGTGAACAGTGTAAACCGTCGGTCCAACCGGACTGCAAGAAAAACTAGTCCAATGCTAAAAAAGGGCAAAAATCCCTAATTTCTCACTTTCTCCTTTCTCTACGCTCAAAATGTTTTGAAAATTTTTTAATGAAATTGCGAAAATCTGAAATCCCACACAAATCAAAACTCAATCTCAATGAAATCGCAACCATTCATTATTGAAATCGATCGCAACTCAACTCTCTAAAATCGAAATGACGCCTTCCTTCCTCGTCGGAAATCGACGACGACAGCTCCATTCCTTGCTGGAAATCGACGACGATGATAGCTCCATTCCTCCTCTCGTCAATGATCTAGGTAAAAAAACACACCGTTCATGACAGTTCCATTTCGTTTTTCAACTTGTTTTATTAATGCATTTATCATAATAATGTATATGCATTTGTGGTTTAGTTTTTAGAGGTCCACTGATAGTTGCAATTACAGCAGGATAATGTATATGCATTTGCGCCTGTTTTTTTTATGTTCCTTAATTTTGGTGAATTAGTTCTTTGTTGGGTGGTTTTGTATAAATATTTTGGTGAATTAGCTTGTGCCCTCTCTGTTTCTCATCTGATTTATGAGACTAGCGCTTTGTTTTCCAGAACTTCAAAGCTTTATTTCTCTTTTCAATTTCCTGCACTGTTGGTTCATAATTTTCCTATTTTTATAGATACTCATTGTTAACCTTTAGCCCCTATTTCATGAGTTGGAATTTTGATAACATCTCACATCTCTTGTATGATTGTTGAATTAATTCTTGTATCGATAATTGGGTTTCCAAGTTTTATGTGTTACATGTGAAGTCACAATTGTATTTTCCCTTTGCCATTGCAAATGCACTTACCGCCACTTTATCGCAGTTATCTTAATGAGTAGCTTTTGTTTAATGTTGTGGAGTTTATCATTTGTTGATGAATTATGGATTCTGCTTGGGTATATATTGTTTATTTTCAATTTAAATAGTCCTTATAATATTATATTATACGATGTACATGTTTTAGTCATATCACCATCACTTAGTTGTTTATCAACTTTGATAATTGCATATTCTACTTCCATATAATGTGTCCTATTTAAAAAATAATTTATTATAAAATCATTTATATGTCTCTGAATTAGCATATTATTTCTATTCATCTTTTATTGTTTTTCTCTTTTCCATTTTGAAGGAGATGATGAACAGAAGAGAGGGAATAGATCAAAGAGGTATGTTTGTATAGGTTCGAATATGTTGGGCTGTCTGCCATTCATGTGTGAGCTTGAACATTAAAATGGACAAGAAGCCCAAAGCAATATAGAAAACAAATTTTGAGCTGCTTGTCACTTCCTTCTTGAGTAATGCTACACTTACACCATTTTATAAACATCATGATGTGGTATATGCTACAACCATGTAAATTCTATTATAATATTAAAAATTTAAAATAATTAAAAATTTATGTGATTGTGACATATGCCACATCATGATATAATGAAAATTGTGTAAAAGAGTGATGTAAGTATTACATTACTCTTCTTTGAGAGTTAGAAGAAAAAGAAGCAGAAAGAGAGAAAGGAGAGAAAGATGATTGTTTTTGGATTAAAGAGTTCATAATCCAACGGTTTGATTAGTGAAATTTTTTGTGTAGATGATTTATTGTACATCTTCATTTAAGGTGATTTATATTTTATCATGAACTAAATTTTAAGGTGAAATGTTCTAGAACCCAGTATAATAATATTAGATATACATTAACAGACTTAAGGAAGGCATACTAAATTATTGTTATTTCTTGTGTGACAACCTAATAAGTAGATAAAGATTAAAAATAGACAATGTCAATATCTGGCTCTAGGTCTTTTTCACAATCTAGTAGAGATAGGATTGATATAACATAGACACATGTTATTGAGGGTGTAGATCCAAATGGAAGAAAGACATTAAAATGTCTTCACTATGGGAAAGGAACTAGAGGAGGAGGTATTTTTAGAATGAAACAGCATCCAGCTGGAACAAAGGGGGATGTAAGTGCTTGTTTAAAAGTTCATTTTGATGTTCAATACTTGATGAGAGAATCACTAAAAGACATTGGGATAAAGAATAAAGAGAAGCTGATTCTAGGAAGCATAATACTCCTTACGGTGCTCCCGTACATGGATTTGAGGGAGATATGTTAAATGAAGATAGTAAAGAGTTTTGTCCATTAAAAATTCACATAAATGAAGGTAGGTTTGGCGGTAAAAAACAAAGTACAATGCTAGACAAATCAAAAAGAAGAAAATCTATTGGGATTGGTGACTATTTTGCTCCAAGGACAATTGGTGGATCTCAACCATCAATTAGGAGTTGTTTAGCTGGAAAAGATGTGACGTGGAGAGTAGACATGGCTTTTGCAAGATTCTTTTATGCTGCTTGCATCCCAATTAATGTTGTAAATTCAATTTATTTTCAGCCTTTGGTGGATGTTATAACTGCAATTAGGTATGGGTATAAAGACCCAAATTATCATGGTTTGCGTGCCAATTTATTAAGAGATGCTAAGAAGGAAGTGCAGTTTCTTGTTGATAGTTACAGAAAGATTTGGGAAAATGTTGGATGTACCATAATGGCTGATGGTTGGACTGATAATTCACATAGGTCACTGATCAATTTTATGGTGTATTGTCCTATGGAAGTTTGTTTTGTGCAATCAGTTGATGCTTCAGATGTTGTGAAGGATGTTGGGACATTGTTGAAGACGTTTGAAGAGGTAGCTTTATAGATTGGACCAAATAGTATTGTCCATTTTGTCTCAAACAATGGATCCAATTATAAAGCTGCTGAAAGAATGTTGTCTGAGAAATATCCGAGTATTACTTGGTCACCCTGTGCAGCACATAACATAAATTTGGTGTTAAAAGACATAGCTGAGATGGATCACATAGTTTATCTTCCGAGACTTGCTTATGAGGTGACGAAGTTTGTATATAATCATACATTCTTGATAGCTTGGTTGAGGAAAAGACAGGTAATATACTTTTAGCTCATGTTCTTGTCAAGTCATAACATAATATACATTTTTTTTTAATTGACTAGCATTTATTATTTATCAATTGAACAGGGTTGGAAAGAAATTGTTCATCCGGGCGCAACCCGTTTTGCTACAACTTTCATTGCAATGAGAAGCCTTCATGAGCACAAACATGACTTGTAAGCCATGGTGATAGATAAGTCATTTGTCGATTCTCGATATACAAAAAAGTAATAAAGGCAAACATGTTATTAACATAATTCTAGATAACGATTTTTGGGATGATATGGGTAAGATATCCAAAGTTTTGAGTCCATTGATGCACTTGTTGCAGATTGTTGACTCAAATGAAAAGTCTGCAATAGGATATATGTTTGATGGCATGTACAGAGTGAAAAATGCAATTAAGAAATTGTTTAAGAATAAAAAGAGATTGTACAAGCCTTGTACACAAATCATTAAGCTACACTTGGATAGGACGTTGCGCTGTGATATCCATTTTGCAGCTTATTATTTGAATCCTGCCTTTAAATATAACGAAGCATCTTTTTGTACCAAGCCAGAAGTCATGAGTGGTTTCCTTGGTACTATTGGCAGTAAAGAAAGTGTGTTCAATTTGAACAAGACAAGATTAATGGAAGAGAGTAGATTATATTCAAACCGGGAGAAAAACTTTTCTCGTGGGCTTGCTCTTAAAACCACCAAAACTACACGTCCTGGTACGTAATAGTTATAAAATTTATAAGTTCTTTTGTTTTTTAAAACTAATTTATTTATTATGTTCAATTTTCGATTAGACGAATGGTGGAGATCATTTTAGTATAGTACTCCAAATTTGCAAAAGTTTGCAGTAAAAATTCTTAGCCAAACTTCAAGCTCTTAGGGATGTGAACGAAATTGGAGTGTTTTTGAGCGCATAGATACTAAAAAGAGGAATAGATTGGAGCATCAAAGGTTGAATGATCTTGTCTTTGTTCACTATAACTTGCGTTTGCAAAACAAGTATAAAACATTGTCAATTGCTCAATTATGCATCACTGTTATTGTTATTATCTATTATTTTCCTTGATATTTTACTTGTCATGCTTTTAATATTTCATTATGATATTTTAAGAGGTGTTATAAGAGAATAAGTTTCGATCCTGTTGATTATGAAAGTATCGACAAAACTGAAAGTTGGATAGTTCACGATGAAGAGGAGGCCAGTGAACTTAATTATAAGCATTTGGAACGAATGTTATATGGAGAAGGATCTATTCCTGCTGGAGTTGCTGATCACCCTTCTTTTTATGATTCAACCCATGTTCAAAAGGTTGGTTTCAAATATTTAAACAACTTAGTATCTACTATAAATTAAATTACAAGTTTTAACTTATGATTTCTATTTTTTACTAAAATTTACGCAAATGATGATGATGGTTATAATGATGATGAATTTTGATGTTAATGTGTGAAACTCAATTAACATGGAAACGGATCAAAGAAAAAACACTTATACCAAATGTTTTATTATTAATAATTATGTATTTTGTAGTTTAATATGTAACGGATGAAGTAATGAACACATCATGTTTAGATTTGGATTTTGGATTGTTGTTAAATACTTAAATTATGTTGGGATTGTTATTGAATTTGAACTTTGAATCATTTTAGACAATAATTAAGTTGTTATTGTCTTATTAAAAAATGAAAATCTTAAAAAAAACAAAAAAACAAAAAAAAGGTTTTTTATGTGCTGACGTCATAATGCGGGTGTGATGACATCACCAATCCAACCGATTGACCTGTGACCTGGGGAGCATAATAGGTTACCCTCCGGTCCGGGTTTTAAAACAATGAATATAATTAAGTCTATGCATTTTGAACGTCACGAAATGGTGAACTCTTGCTCTTTAACCTAAAGCTTTAAACAAATAATGAAAACAAAATTTCCCTATATTATTTCAGTTTATAAATTTATGAAATCAATATTACAAAACAAAATTGGCAAATAAAGAAAGTTCTGCTCTTCGGAACTATAGACAACCCTAAATATTTGATTTCAGGAACCCTTTTTTACCTCTGGACTAATATACACAATCTTCTGTCATCCTTTCTTGATCAAACTCTATACTGCAAAACAGCTATTGCACTGCCTGAATCAGCATGTCTGCAATAACTACAAGAAAATATACCAAACAGATGATTAGATAATCTGCAAATGAATTAATTGACAAATGCCAAAATATAAAAAGAATATCTTCATATTTTACAAACAGGCACCAAAATGTCGAGTGTCAAGGATTCCGTGCACACAAGAGGTTTGATAAATCAGAATAATCTTTGTTGCGTAAGCAGCAACCAAACAAAATTAATGCCAGCGTTGGTCCTTGTATCTCCAGTAGGGAATAACACAACACCAGAAGACTGGTGACAGCCCTCCAATGAAAGATTGAAGGGCAAAACGAATGGTAATTTGCAAAACTAATCTGGATATGACAGTTACAGTAGAAAACATTAATTTTAAAGAGTAAAGAAATTCAAAATTCAGGCTCCATGATCTCAATAAAAAACATTGAACACCAAACATAGAAAACTATGTACTTGGAGTTGCGTCCAATTTTCTTAAAACTTCCCCCGAGAACATAGATAAAACCAAGAATCTAACATGCACTACAAACAGATTTTATAAAATTTCATGGAACAAAAACTGCCTTTGCAATGTTAGCTCAATAAGTAGTGAGAGCTCACCTAGTAGCAGGCATCATTTATGCTCCCAGAGGAAAGCTTCAAAATCACACTAAACAGGCTGCACAATACATTAAGCATAAACTTACATACTGGAAACAGAGGTAGAAGGTAGAGAGAAAAACAACTCTGCACTTAGATGTGAGGTCCAGCCCTGTGATCGGAATCAACTCCCATGTCTTTCACACAAGAATTGCAGCTTCATGCTGTATATACAGTATACGCGCTTCCGTTTTGTGATGGTCAGATCTTTTGTATAACTTAAGTCAATTGCAACCAGAAAAGCAGTATCCACAATCACATAAAATTGACTTCTATGTCAGAATGGAGACTGACACAACGGGCATGATGATTTGTGAGAAGTTGAGAACCACTTGTACAAGCAAGCTGAATGGAACTTGTGTTTACATGTCTTGCAAGCAAGACGAGGAAGACCATGGCTCACAGTGTGGATGACACTGTAACAAATAGGGCACTCCTCAACACCTTCAAATTCCTTGTCAAAATTGCGCTTCCATATCCGTATAGCTTCAGCTAAAGCTCCATTCTGCATCACAAGTAAAGGAAATTACTTATTTTCCTGGTCTAGATGTCCTCTAAACCAAATAATTTTCATGCCACTTTTGGCTTCCTTTCCACAACCAAGCCAATTTCTAGGGGATTTCACATAAAAGGTTATCCCCAACTTTCAGTGTATATCATTCATCAACAAGATGTAGGAAAAAAGAAACAAAAAGCAACCGGAAATAAGCTATAGAAAAGTACCTGATTCTGAACGAACAACATCATTGACATTATCCACTTCCTCTGCTTCACTTCACTAATACCTAGGCTTCTCATACAATCAACATCAACTGGTCGTAAAGGGTAGGATGCAGGAAGACGAATAACTAGATCCATTTTGGTCTCATCCTTTGTGTAGGTGGCAACAACCTCATTTGCTGATTTACTTACAGTAAGTGAAAAATTTTCTTCAGCAATATTGGCTTTCTTGATCTGCAACAAACAATTCAGTCAGAGCTTCAAATAGCCTGATTTGAATTAAAAAACGAAACTTTCCAATTTTCTACACAGAATCAAGTCAGTCGCATTCACAACATGGGTATAAGTTAACTAGACAGAGAATATAGGTTAACAATTCTAAAAACAAATAATTTGCCGAGACAATGTTTGTAAATAAGCAGTGAACTAGAATTAACTTTTGTTCTAGTCCAAACGCACCTGAGATAGTTCATTAGCAATTAGAGGAGGGCTGCACCATGTTCTTGTGAAGGATTCAACCAAAAACGAAGTGCAACGGTCACGTAAATCACTAAACCACCCACGAACATACGCAGGAAGAACACAAAGAATCAAACCATATAATGCTCCAGCAAGCGAAGCCAGTTTCAATGATTCAACAGGCCAAAGTGATTCAACGGAAAACAATAATGAACCTATTCTGATAGCATGTTTTGCTGCACTTGCAGCTGCTGATGCCTCAGGAGGAAGATCCCCATCTTTCTTTTTCAGACCTTGAGTCATGCACACTTCCAAAGGAATATGTTGGAAAATGCAATCTAATATCACTGGATTAGAAGAATCTAGAATATACTGGACCAATCTCTCCCTCAAAGGTGCTACTGATGGTAAAGATGACAAGTGAGATAGTACCAAAGACCATGCAAGGAATACATTTATCTGTTTAATTGAAGAGGCAAGTATGTCAGTGCATTCAGGGGAAAGGAGAAAAAAAAAAAAAAAAAAAAATTTGCAGCCGTGAGATCATCTAAATTAGTTAGAATAAAAAGACAAATGTAACTGCACTGAAGAGCAAATTTACCCGTTGTTGGGCATCCAAATCCATGTCCAGAACCTCGTAAGGTAACTTCTCAATCATACAAGAGATTTCATCCTTCAAATGTATGTTTTCTTCTGATGACATATCATGACTGGGAGGATCCTGGTGAACACTAGCATCTCCGTCCAAGCAAAATGCAGTATCTTCACGGAAAATAGCCAACTGAGAAACAGGCTCAGTAGACAAAATAACATATGCAGCAAACTGCAGTGATGCAATTGGTTTTGGAGAAAACAAAACAGCATACAGGGCACTTATGGGCCCTTTTCTTAGCCCCCAAAACTCAATTGACCTAACTGCTCTCTCTCTAATACGTGGTGGTGAGTTTACGACACTTGATGCCACCAATTCCCAAAAAGAAAGATGCTCAAGCCGCGATGATATTATAATCAATGCAGCCTCAAGACCATAAGAACTTGCAATGGCCTCGGAAATGCCAGTGCAGAAGAATAAGCGAAGAATACCTTCTTCAATCCGATCTTTAATATGATCCCATTTTTCTGTTCTCAAGGAGCTTAAATTATCTGAAACTTCAACAGTATTGCGTCCTAAAAGCCTGCAACACAAAGAAAATGATAGAAGGGCATTTCTAGCATGATTTATAGGAGAAGGGTCTGAAATGGAGACAATTTGTTCAAACTTCTTAAGAATAGAATCTAAATTGTTAGAAACAGAGCTATCAGCATCGGTATCATTCACATGTTCGGTAAACTCCTCCATCATCACAACTGCCGACTGAATCCAACAACTCAAGTGCGAGAACAAAAAGCCCCAATCATCTTCATTAAACTCCTTCCAACAATAACCAACTGAAATAACCATCAGCTCTGATAGTAACCCCTGCACCACTGGCAGCTGATTAGCTACACCAGTTACATGCCTCTGCTTCCGAAACAAATCAAGTAAGAGTGTTCTCTCTGCACTGCTAATACTCCTCTCCAGCTTCAATGGTTCTCTTCCCCGCAGTCCACTCAGAGGATAGCATGAAACAACCAACTGAAACCATTCTTCCATATCTACAAGAAATCAATCGGTGGTATCAGTGCAGTTAATATAATACCATCTTATGTTAACTGACCATAAAGACATGACATTGAACAGAAAGCTTTGGTCCAGTGGAGATGCTGTATTTTAGCAATACTCTTAAGTTCTTTGGTTAGAGAGAAATATAAGAATTTTTGAAGAAGATAATGACCTAGAGATACTTTGTAAAAGAGTTCATATTCTCTGCTTCTTTGTGGGCATTGATTACAAAGCAATCTAAAGGAATTTCTATTCTCTTTATTCAAAGGTATTGGACAGTCCTAGTGTCTTAAATTTTTTATTTTTTGACCTCTTTGAGGCATGTCTTATATAGAAATTATTGACCACTTTTAATTCGTTGAATTCTGGTTTTATTCTTTGTATTTAAATTTTATTTCTCATAAAATTTTAAACGTCCAATTTAAAAAAAAAAAAATAAGAAAAAAAGAAATGAAAAATAACCAAACACACATATATCACCGGCAGATAACTTCAGCCCATAAACTAAAAACAAAAGGCATTTACCTTCTCCAGTCTGCCATGAAACTAAAGGAGGGAATACTAAAGTTCTATTGAGCCAGCTTTTGATGGTATCCAGAATCTGATTTTCTTCAGAAGTATCAAGATCAACATCTATACTACGGTCACCAGAACTGATGCTTTGTATAAGAACACTCACAATTGGAGGAAGAATCCTCAAACAATTCATATTAATTGCCTCCCCAATAAAAATCTTATCAGCGAGCAGTTCAAACAGAGCCATAGCCTTCTCTCTTTGCCATATATCATTCTTAAACAAAGTGATAAGCAAAGATACAAGAGCTCTCAGGAAGGGTTCTTCAATCTCCACTTCATCGTCTAAGGCATGCCATATATTGAGCAAACCCTGTGCACCATTTCCTCCATGAACAAGAGCACCATCAAGTAAAATGTGAAAGACGGAATCTAAGAAGTTCTCATGAGAAACATATTTATCACTCTTTGCATATGCACTCAGTACAGGTAAGAAAGAAGTTAGAGCACTGCCTCCAGGCCATTCCCATGTGCACAATACTTCAGCGGCAACCCACGCTCGAGAAGTAATCTCATTATTTGTTGTTTCCTTGGGTACAGATGGGAAAACATTTGCAAAATAACCAGCAACAACTTTCTCAAGCCCAATTTTTGAGATAAGCTTGTCAATTAAGGAAACAAATTTGTGATGCCCAGATGGCTGCACCCAAATTATTTGCAGTATGAGTACATTGAGCTATTAAATCTTATATACGAAAGAGTGGACTCATATTTTATATAGTTTAGAAAATTTAGCAACTATACCAGCCTTTCATGGGCACAGATGCTTATTTCAAGACAAAACAAAGTTTGAGGAATCAAGATCCATTTCATAAAGAAGTTAAGCATAGAAATCCTAAGGGTGTTGTTCTTGAAGGCTGCCTCTCTTTTTCCAAACCAATGTGGCAGGCCAGAGTTATTAATTATTAGATTCACATGGCATTGCACCATATCCGTGAACACACTCCTCAGACAGTATTACACAAATTATACACCTTACAATTAAAAATTCACCAATACTGAAGTTTAGAGCCCCAAATACAATCAAAAACCTTCTTCTTCTTCTTCTTTTTTTTAACTTAGGAGAACATCGCTTTTTTTTTTTTTTTCAACATTTGACACCAGATTTCTTGTTTCATGCCGTCTTGGTGCTTAATATGCAAGGATCTTGAAAAAGACTTTGCATAAGAGCAGAACACAGCAGAATTTTCTCTATTTATTTTGCATAGGGAGAAAACAAATAGATGGAGATTAAATGACTATCAGTGCTATAATAAGTACTTTAAGACTGTAAAGCAATCAGAAGGCCTAGAATCATGACTGGATAACCAGAATACAGCTAGCAGAACAGCCTAAACAGAAAGTAGCAAATTGCTTTTTAAGTTAGAAAATTTTTGGAAAAGATTAACTAGAGCATATAGAAGACATTCTGCTGATTAAAGAGTTCCACAGGGACAAAATCCTTCTTTTTTGTTGTTGAAACCAAAAAGGGTAAGGAAGAGATGAAATACTGAAAACAACAACAATGAACTTAGAAATAATAGAACCTAGAGCACCAATTCATAGTTGGCATCAAGTCAAGGGTATGCCACCAAAACCGGCTATCCCAGGTCAAAAAAGAAAATGCTAAGAAACTTGAAAAAATAAAAATAAAAAGCAGGACTATTATATCTTATAGCATACTAAGCCAGATCCCTAATTTAACCCCTAAATCCCTATGTTCCTGCAGTTTGGGTGCTGAATTTGAAAATATTATTCATCAGATGCATAAAGACATAGAATAGTAATTAACAATAAAAATAAACAATTTAATAATTAAAAAAATTACTACTAAACTTAAAGGATGAGATGTTACTCACATATTTATCAACAGAGACATTTTCAATATTCAAGTTAGGCATGCTGAAATTTGGAGTAATCCATAAAGGCCATGTGTCTCCCTTGCTCAGAAGCTGGTCTAACAGATTTTGTTCCAGATATTGATTCTTCTGATCAAGACATTCAAGTACTTCAATGATCCATGTGTAGCAGATAGACACTATTTCATCTGTCTTTAGATTATCATCCTTGAAAACAGCAATTCTAATAGAGTGAATCAAGATACTTCCTAATCTCTTCTGACTGTCCATGTTGAGACTTCTCAAGAACTGACCGTTAATATTAGAACGAGAAGCATTCACAGATTCACATAACTTCAACCGTGCCTTGGTTTTCTTCTTTAATTCATCATCAAGTGTATCCTCTAAAACCATAACCATGCTACACTCCCAGTCAATGATAAATACAGCAGCTGAAATACTTGATACTAGCCCTATTTCATCATTCAGTGTCTTTAAGCTGAAGAAGCTACCATTGAGTATGTCTATAGCAAATTGAGCCATCTCAATCACGTTCACAGAATTTTCAACTTCCATAGTAAAATCATTAATTTCAGTAGTAAGTAAAGAGCTTGCTTCTCTAACCCAAGTGAAAGGGGACACCCAAAGAAAAGTGAGTAACTTTTTAAGAATTTCCTTGAATATTATAATCAATGCATTTCTGGAGACAAAAGAAATTTGATTGCCCACTGCTGAGCCACCAAGAAGAGCACTGCAATTCACATAAAATAAGACTTAACATTAACAAATAAATAATTAAGACAAATGAAGAAGATCATATATATATATATAAGCAGGTAAAAATCCAATGAATTAAGCGATTATATGCTTGCAGGGTAAAGGGATAAAGAACTTATTTTAAAGCATCTATTTCCATTTTAGACAAGAAGTGATTCCATGTATATTCAACTTATTAGTGATATAGATAAAGGATTTGGTTCGACATTAAAAATATAAACTACAAAGTTAACCCTAGAAAAAAAGGGAATATGTTAACAAACAATTAAATTTTAATCTATAACTGATGCAATATGGACATAGTTTGCGGAGCTATGGATTTCCTTCAAAGCAACGTATTGGTCCACAGCTGACATGCATGACAAAAATGAGCAATTGGCTAGCTTCATATCATGGATAGTGGAAGTGGGGATGCACCAAACTGGCATTGTGTGAGATTTATTAAAGAATGTGAGAGTTGGACATGAAAACACATATCATGGCGTGGAAATGATGAGAATGAACTTAATGGTATACATGTGATCACAGAAGCATTTATACATTGCCTTTCAAATGTTGTATAAATAGTATATATGTGATCACAGAAGCATCTATATCTTGCCTATAAAATGCTGTATAAGTATTGATTACATCCCCCTGTGTTTGTTATGAGTTTCCTGTACAGGAAAGTATGTATTATGGGAACGTTTCAAGATTCTATTTACATACCACATGAACCGTGTGTCAGAAGTTCCAAAAGGGGGCAATGAACATGCAATAGCAACAGAAATAGATTCTAGAAGCTCATGATGCCAATGATCTGGCTGAGAACCTTGCCAACGAGTGGAATGGTTTCCCACCTTCCTATTTGTAATTTCATCTCTTGCTTTCTCCAAGAGCATTGCTAATACAATTAAAGAGTTGGAGTCTACGGTGCCAGCCCCAGATCCAAAATGTTTTGAATTAGCAGCATAAGAAATTACAGCATGCCACTGCTCATGGAAACATTCATCATCAAGTAATGTAAGCAACAGATCTAATCGAACACTTGTTGAGTAGTTATACTCATGCAAACACCAAGGAACAAATGTTTCCTTTAACACTTGCATAAAATGCCCTGGATCCAACTCTCTGTCCTTATCATCAGAGAGAATATCAGAGGTACCATCTTCATTTTCAATAAAGAGTTCTCGGACAATCTTTTGGGCTCCAAATACTGTTATTGAAACTGATAGAAGTCTTATACCATCTACTGAATCCTGATACCAAGAAGATAAATAGAAGAATGAATAATAAAGTGAGCACATATCAAAAATGCATTAAAAGTGTACAGAAAGTAAACTCTAAAACAACATAATAGGATCAGAAATCTAATTCCAGAACAANGGTGCCAGCCCCAGATCCAAAATGTTTTGAATTAGCAGCATAAGAAATTACAGCATGCCACTGCTCATGGAAACATTCATCATCAAGTAATGTAAGCAACAGATCTAATCGAACACTTGTTGAGTAGTTATAATCATGCAAACACCAAGGAACAAATTTTTCCTTTAACACTTGCATAAAATGCCCTGGATCCAACTCTCTGTCCTTATCATCAGAGAGAACATCAGAGGTACCATCTTCATTTTCAATAAAGAGTTCTCGGACAATCTTTTGGGCTCCAAATACTGTTATTGAAACTGATAGAAGTCTTATACCATCTACTGAATCCTGATACCAAGAAGATAAATAGAAGAATGAATAATAAAGTGAGCACATATCAAAAATGCATTAAAAGTGTACAGAAAGTAAACTCTAAAACAACATAATAGGATCAGAAATCTAATTCCAGAACAACAAATTCTTGAGTTCAACCTATGTACTTCCACACTCTCACAGACACCAAAGTTATTATTATTATTATTGTTTGTTTTTTGGTTTTTTGTTGGGAGAAAGGGAGGGGAAGGGGTCTGTCAGAACACATTCAATTTACATAGTCGGTCAGATGTCTGCTGGTATGCCAGTCTGCAGGTCAAGAGCAAGAGGGCCTTCTTTAATGCTTCCACTAGACAAAGAAACTAGAGGTAAATCCCCATATTCTGAACAGGAAATTTATAAGGTGCAGCTAAAGTGAACATGAAGGTATATCTTCAAGGAACCCATGGAAGAAAAAGATAAAATTTTTCCTAAAAATTTACCAGTGATCTTATCAACGGGAAGGACTTGGCCAACATTGGTCCCACTAAATAATTCACAGGCCAAGCTTCACCTTCCTTCATTGCATGTCGCTCCAGTAGCGATAGAAATGTTATGATCTGCTCTATATTCCCTGTAGGTCTTTCTATGTTTTCTTTTTGCTTAAACACCTGCAGGCAATCCTCCTGAAATGCCACACAAAAAGATGAGAGCAGATTATGTTCCAGCAAATACATGCCTGAGAGAATTCCAATAATGCATTTTCCCAACTCATGAGTATAAATCATTGGATGCTTAATATTCAGTGTTTCCACTGTCTTCTTATGGAAATAAGGATTGCTATCCTCAGATGGAACCACAGACATTCCAGAGATTTCTCTTTTCTGATCCTTTGAGCTAACAAAGTATAGGAAATCTTGCCACAGAAGATTCACAACAATATTGTCAATCAGAGAGAGTCGAAATTGCACCACAGAATCATCACCATCAAAATATCTAGCACCCAAGAGAAGTGCGAGATTAGAACTCAAAAAAAAAAAAAAATAATAAATAAATAAATAAAACTGCCGAGGCAGTGAGATGATACAGAGTAGAGTTACAGGAGAAAAGCTTAATGACCTCACCTTGATGTATTAAGTATTCCCCAAAGAAAACACTCTTTAAATGCCTGGAAAAATGCTAGTTGGTCTGAATTTGAGGAATGTGGCTGATTCCTTCCAGCCCACAGGCTATGGAAAAAATTCTGAAAGAATTTATCAATGACTACTACTTTAGGGGGCACAATCTCCAAAAATAGGACCAAAGCTGGATAAGAAACTTGCTGAGACCCAAAGCACCCGTTCCTAAGAAAATTGCACAACTGATTTATTACAATCTTTTGAACATTCAAAAAAGTCCAGCTGTCTGGGAATCTCTTAGAAAATAGTAAAACCATATCCCACATTGAAGAATGACAAACAGGATCCTTTTCCTGGAAAGCACCAAGTATTGAGGTTGCAATAACTTTCATATTCCCTTCATTGAAAACATGAGGAGTATTTTTAACAAAACTCCTAAACACCGAATATGTAGCTGATCGTATCATAGGGCTTTGGGACTTCAGAAAGTCTAGAAAGTATTTATGAGCTGAGAACAACTTTTCAGAAAAAGAAACAGCAGTCAGCCTAGCCTTAGCACCATGTTTTGATTCAGCAGAAATGTTTTCAAAACCAGATCTTCCTGTTTGCTCGCACACTAAAACATCAAGAAGTGTGGCCAGTGCCAGCAGTGAAGAAGACATCACCTGCTCTCCAAGCAATAGGACACACAAACTCATGACTTGATTAAATGAAATAACAAATTAATGGCAAATAATTGAGACATGACAATCATAAATTCAGTAAAAATATTTGAAAGCATCCTGATTGTTATTTAATAGGTAAACCAGGAAAAAGACTGTGCTTAAAAAATTTGAATTTCGTAACACAGATTGATATTCTATCCTCTAAATGTAAAAGGGTAAAAGAAAATATTTATATCAATGGGAGACCCTGAAAACATACCTGCTGGTGCATCTCTTCCAACTCATCCAACGCAACAGCTTTATCAGACAGATCTTGTGGTGTAAGCTTCAGGTTTTCTTCCAAATACATGAATACGTCATTTGTGCATAAAATCAACGCATCTAATCTCTTTTCTTGTGCCGGAAAGGCTGCCTATCGATAACCGCCAAACAGGGAGATCAAAACTAAGAACAAAAGCCACAGAATACAGGAACCAAGATACATGGAAGTTTATTTGACATGGGGATAGAAGTTTACAGAGCAGAACTTCTAACAATATTTTAAGAAGAATGAAATTACTTTGCATTGGGCCATATGCACCATATTTATACTCTCCAAAACCATTTTTTCTTAAATACTTGGAAGAGGAGGTGTGGACAGTATGTTTCAGAGTGCATATAGCCCCACTCAATTACTTTTATGAACATCAAAATTATCCATAAATTGATCACAGACCATTGTGATAGTAACAAAGATAAAATGAGCAAGCCTCTGACTTATTGTTCCAGACACCATTACTTGCGATACACCAAATTTACTTCCAACAGACTATTTTTACAGATGATGTATTGGCTACTTCTAACTTTACTCAAAGTATCTAATGCCTTGCTCCCATATCCTTACACCTTAGTCTTTATTTTTATTTAATATTTTTTTTAATACTTTAGAGAATGTAAGGTCACTATATTTTTTGTAGCAAATTTTTTTATTTTTTATTTTTTTTGAGATGCTAAGTAATGACTATAAAAAACCACATTCGAAGATTGCTACATGGCTGCATTGCTTAAACTATCATGAATATTGCAAATTTTGCTTTGGCTCACGATATTGGAGGGGGTTTTCTCCCTAAGGGTTCAAAACTCTAAAGTCTTATTATTGTTCTTTAGGTGCCTATTGCACCCAGTGTTTCATATATCCAAACATAATAACCCAATGGCAAAGGACAAGAATGATCTTAATCACTTTGCATATTTGAAAACACACAAACACGTTATCTGATTACAATTCTTTGTACAGGATTCTGCAGTCAAGATCAAAGCAGAAATTCTAGTGCAAAAAGAATGTTTTGCTATGTAGTATCAACTTTAAAACAAATAAATAAAAAATGGTTTACTCTTCCATAAAAAATAAATCACAGTAGCTGCAATGTCCTAATATTCTACAGCAGAAGGTAATAATTATGAGACCTGTAATGATCGCTTTGCAGCTTGAGAAACTTCAGAATTTGAATCAAACTGAGAAAACCACCATGGTCCCATCAAAGATTTCAGATGCGGAGCTAAATCCCGCCTAAGAAAATATACAAGAGTTTTAGCAAGCAAATTCTCGGCAGAAATCAGCATGCCAAAGCAACAGAACATAAGGTTTTCCAGAGGTCAAATTCAACAAAAACAAGCTTGCACATGCAAATATGATACAGAAAAAACTTACAATAACTTTTTAAGACTAAGAAGACTAAAATCTTATAATTGGCAGGACTAGGCATAATTACATAAATTACTCTTAAATTTCAAGATAAACTATTGACTCCAAAATAGATACTTCTTAGGACAAAATGTCAGAGAAAAATAACATTAAGAAATACAATCAAATTTATTAGTTTCCTTATTAAAATACAAATTCTTTCTATGATTGTTTTGATTTATTTTCCTTCAATATTTACTTTAGTTTAAGAAAAGTAGATTTATCTTTGATTATTTCCTTCAGTGTTAGGACTAGTTTACTGTAAATGCAGTTACAAATGCATAAGTTTCATAAGGCTGTCAATAAAAAATTCTCTTTATTATCAATGAAATTTCATTTTATTCTCAGGGATACTGTGTTAGTTCTCTTGCTTCATTTTGTGCTTTAAATTTTTCATTAATTCGTGAAGCCAAAACATTCTCAAAAAAATAAAATAAAATAAAATATACTAGCACTAATACAAGAGAAATAGCTTTTTGAAGATTAAAACCACAACATTAAGCACAAATCTTTTTGCATAAAAATTCCAAGATTTCCAAAGATTGTATCATATTGAAAGAAAAAGAATATTAGCTTGCACAATGCAACAATCTAGTCATACCCAACAGCAATAACAAGATTAGTCATGGTCTCATGTGTTGCTCGCCGAACTTCTCTATTGTAGTCCAACAACAGCCTCTTGTATTCAAATGCCTACAAGAGAGGGGCTAATACTCAAATATTATAATAATAGAGAAAATACCAAGATTCAAGAGTAAAATAGATCTTAATTAAGCACAGCTCTGTAGCAATAGAAACTATAATTCAATGTTATTTTAAATAAATCTTCATTAATTGAAACATAAATATGAAACACTAGCAACTAAGTGAAAAATAAGTACTTGATGATCAGAGTAACATAAAGGTCCAACTACTGCCAAAAAATTTCAAATGAAGCGATGGACATTAAATCAAACTTTGAGAATAGCTATTAAACGTGAAAAAGCTAAAGAAATGCATAGCTTATTTCTCCCCATTCCTCACCCCCCAATCCCCCCCTTTCCTTACTCTCAGAATTACATAATAGCATTAAACCTTAAGAATGCGTAGCTTCTTTACTTATTCTCTTGAATTTCCTCCTAATTCATATTTCCTCCTCCAATATTCACCCTACAGTGACTTCAACATGTTAATAGGCATGGTGATTGTTCATTCTAATATACATCAAGTATGAGAATTAGACTGGGGGAGAAAATTAAAGGAAAGAAGAAAGATAAGAAAAATGACTAGAACCAATTAAACAACTATTTCTATCATAGCATAGACAGAAGAGCAAAGTATTGACTGGGGGAGAAAATTAAAAGAAAGAAGGATGATAAGAAAAATGACTAGAACCATTTAAACAACTATTTCTATCATAGCATAGACAGAAGAGCAAAGAGTTGACTGGAGGAGAAAATTAAAGGAAAGAAGAAAGATAAGAAAAATGACTAGAACCATCTAAACAACCGTTTCTATCATAGCAAAGACAGAAGAGCAAAGTGTTGCAGTTATCAAATTCTTGTATAAACAACATTCACATAAAAGCAAACAAACAAAGCATACCCATTGTGGAATAATTGGTACTATGTCCTTTCCGGGCTTTCCCTTGAGCAGCACAGATAGAGATGTCAAAGCTTTAAGCTGTAAACCAACAAGGACAGCTATGTTATAAAAAATCCCACACAAATTTATCTCTAAGTGACACATTAAAGGAGGTAGCCTTAATGATGTCACTATAGAATATTTTCAATCATCAAGCAAAAATATACTATTAACAAATAACCAATTTTAATTATTTAGCTGCTAATGAAAATTCACACCCCATAGCAAATGCCAATACGCCACTATTAATAGTAAAGCAAGTCCATGATCCTACAAGGTCATAAGCACCCAACTAACACCTAAGCAGAATGAACTTAAAACTCTTGAAAAAATTTCCATGTTATTGTTAATATTACATTCGAACAAACTGAAAAAGGTCCAAGATATTCACATCACCTAAACAAGATTATACCTCAAAACCTAACTGCGAATCAAGTAAGCATGTATGAAGAAACACACCAACGACAAAGTTCATAAAAGTCATAGTTATGGAGTTTTCAAGACAAAATTCACACAACATATTATTACCTTGGTCGTAGGGTCCTTCCTAGCAAGCCTCTTCAAGTGCTGTGCCACTTCACTATCTATATTCTGCCAATAAAAAAAAAAATTATCAAAATTTAGCTTATTCAGTGCAAAGATACAAAAATTACATGCATGTCCAATTCATTCTTAGTTACATGTTTTGATTTTGGTTCAATATACACCGCAATAAACGCAATAAGAATGATCAAAATTTAGCTTATTCAGTACAAAGATACAAAAATTACAAGCATGTCCAATTCATTTTAAGTTACATGTTCTGATTTTGGTTCAATATACACAGCAGTACGCGCGATACAACCTAAACATGAAAGAGAGGCAATAAAATTAATAAAAAGTACCAAAAAGGGGCTTGAGTCTTCGGTAGCGAGAGAAGAATCGAGGCGAGAATTGCCGACATAGCCGCCGAATCCGACGGCGACCGAAGTTGAACCAGACGGCAACAACGAAGCAGCAAGACTAATAAAATAAAAGAAAATTAAAAAAATATGGAAACAAAAATTCAAAGAAAATTTGATTAATGCTTGAAGAGTAACACAAAATTAAAATTTGTACCTGCTGCTTGAAGGACGAGCTTTGGTTCTACCTCCTTCTCCTTTCGGTTTCCCCATACTGTTTTTCTTTCATAAACCGCCGCCGGTTGGTACAAACACTGCGCGTCAGAGGAAGCGAGTTTGCGGAGAAATTGAATTGGAAGAGGAGGTGGCCTAAATGAAGAAGCCTCTTGCTTTTCCAGTACAGTTTGAGGACTTTGGAAAATTCAACTAATTATAAGGTGCCACGTAAGTATACTGAGGGGTAAGTTTGTCATGGCCTCTTCGAACTTTCGAATAGAATTATTTGAAGTGGCCATAAATATACTACATTTACAGAAAAAAAAATTGTTACAAAGATATGATTCAAAAATAACTTAGACAAAAAATGAATGAAAATATTTGTAAGATTTTTTTGTAAATATAATATTATTAAAACAGTATGTACATTTAATTTTCTAAAATACAATATCTACATTTTAAAATAATGGCCTTAATATCAATTTGAAACGGTTAAAATTATTTTTAAAATTGTAATAAATTTTTTGTTTTTCTTTTTTCCCTTCAAATATATCCTTTGAGTGTGGAGGAATTCATCAAGTGTCATTGCGTGGATGTACAAAGTATAGGAGTACATCTTTAGAACCTCAATGATTCAACATCTTTGTAAATAAAAGGAATTGGTTATTAAGAAAGAGCACTTCAGAAGTGTAAATTAAAATTGTCAATAAATTCATCAATTCACAATCTTAAACAAAATCACAGGGAAAATTTTCCTTACATCCAACGCGAGCCAAAAGCACAATCGACACAAAATTATCAAATGAATGAAACACAAATAGTGAAATGAGACAAAAAGGAAAGGGCTCTCACCTTCTAACTTTTAGCATAAGGAACATGAATCATAATATCTCACAAACTAGATAGAAGATGACCTTAATCTTCCATAGAAGTTACGGAATTCTGTAACCATAGAGAACATCATATCTAAGCTGAATGATGGAACTAACTACAAAATAACTAAATTATATTTTACATATAAAAGTTGTTTCCAAGTCCAAAAATAAATGAAAAAACAAAGGGTAATGCAAATCTAAACGTACCACTTTTTTATGCAACTGTGGTATGGGAATTAAGATCACCATCCCAACACCATATATCCACTGCTCACCTCATGTACTTCTTGTAAGTTTGGTGTGCTTAAAACTCCTTGGAAGAAAATATTGGTCGTTTGTTTCCATATTTCATATCCTATTCCCAATCTTATCCTCAAAATAACGGTTTGTTTTATTATCTTCAAAATACTATTATATTTTCTTCAACTATTTTTAAATCCCTTGAGTTTATTAATTTAACTAAACACTCTCAGAAAAAAAGTTTAAAAATTAATAAAAACACTCCCACTCACCCACATTTGTCAAATTCTGGTTAATAACATCGAAAGATGGTCGGAATCTGGTATAATGGCACACTACTGGCTAGATCTGGTCGGTGATATGCTGATCTATTATTTTTCGGCCAGATACACGGCCAAAAGATCTGGTCGTTGACGGCCAGATCTTTGGCCGTAGTTGGTCGTCAATAACGACCATATCTTTGGTCATCACTGATGGCCAGAAATGGCGGTAGATCTGGTCTTTTCTGGGCAGATCTACCATGGATCTGGCCTAAAAATGCTATATCGGCACACGAACGGTCAGATCCGACCGGTCGTGCATTGTAACACCAGATTTCGGCGGTGTGGCCGGAATATGGCAACTATGGGTGGGGATGTTTTTGTTATTTTATAAAATTTTTATATATTGGGGTGTTTAGTAAATTAGCAAACCTAGAGGAGTATTTTTTTAATTTTCAAATTCTATCTCGTTATTTTCACCCAACTCTAAAAATATCAAAAATCCTATCCAAAGTAATAAGGGAGAACGGTATTTTCACACCCAAGGTTTGACGAAATGACACTTTCCCACCCGTCAAGTTTTAAAATGACACTTTTTCACCTTTCGTCAGGTTTTGTTAGTGTTTTATGTTAATATTTGACCGAAAAGGCGAAATACCCTTAAATAGTTTATTTTGTAATTTAAAATTTAATTAAGTCAAAATCTTTACTTAATTATTTATTAGTTCAAATGTAAAGATACATTTTTTTTCTTTGTTTATTTAATTAATTAGGAATATTGATTTTTTATATTAATTAGGAAAAATGAAAAATATTATAAATTTAATAAATTATTGAATAATAGTAATGAGATATTGATGATATTATAAATAAATAAATATTAAAATCATTTAACTTTAAACAATTTCATTGCATTACTCCTAACTTTTTAGGTGTAACCAACTACTTTTTCCTTTTTTGACTTTTGACTTTTTAGCTAATTAAAAAATTATAAAGTCAAATTTTTAAGAATATTTTCGTTTTTTTAATAAAATATTAATGGAAAACATAACATAACCTAACGAAGGGTAAAAAAGTGTTATTTTTAAACTTAAAGGGTTGGAAAAGTGTCATTTCGTTGGAAAAATGTCGTTCTCCCGAATAATAAAACAAACGGACCCAATTGGGGCAGTCTGTTACAAATAATTCTTCCAAAGATGGGAATTCGAAATTATAATTTCCAGGACAAAAGCTTGTACGACTTTCTAAACCAAAAAGTATCAAGCTCTTCAATCTACAACAGTTAATCTCAGTTTCTATTACATCTTCGTCATTTGATACTATTTTTGTCATCGTTTCGCATCCACATATCTTCATTTCTTTGAGTTGCACCAGGGTTTTGGCAGTTGAGAATGCCACTAGGTTTTTCAATCTTTTGAAAAAACCACACTTCTAGAACTGTACTGTTAAAAGATGTTGAGGATGGCACTAAATTAATCAAATTACCACACCACCATGCATCGAGAATTTGAAGATTTCAAAGTATCATGCCCAGTTTTGATTCTTGTTTCCACATGTATTTCAGATTAGAAAGTTCAAACAACTTTAAATCTTTAATCTGTGTCAACATCCTCTCATATCCCTCTAACTCTTCATGTGAGAATATCTCTTTGCATGAACGCCATGACTCAGAATGAACTTTTCCAGATTGTGAAATCTTTGAAAGGCGTGAAGTGGAAAAACACCTGATTTATCTTTCACAACACGAAGAACTTCCAACTCGGCGAAAGAGATGTTCAAGGAACACACCTTCCCATATCATTGCAACAACCTCTTCCGCCTAATTTCAGTTCCTCCAAATTTAGGAAGACCTAGTTACCAATAATAAACCGGTGCACCCATAAAAATTTAAAATCTGATTTATCTATCACAATGTGAACTCAATAGCCTTGGAGATAAAAAAATCTCTACTAATGAACCACAAGCAAGAACAGTTAGTGATTCCCTAACTGCACACACCTCCAATATGTTGGAAGGGAAATAGTCAATAACTTCACATTTTTTAATCGCCATTATTAGTTCGCAAAAGATCTTCAGAGAGTTGGTTGTTCCGTATCATCTTCAAGTTATCCATGCCATAATTACCAGTTCCTCTAAGCTTAGAATGCACTCTGTAGCTCATGCCTTAAGTAAGATTATTTCTAATTCTTAATTAATGGAGTAATTGAAAAACTGTCTATCTGGAAAATTAAGATCTAGAAGATCATAAGACTATACAACGAAAATTAGATAAGAGAAACAAAGTAAACAATTTAATGTCCTCCACCTCTTCACGAAGAAGGTTGAATCTCCTCTGAGTCTGTGCTTATGTTGTCAAGGCGAATGCCTTAAATCACAGAGCATCTCTATCTCCACGTTTAAGTATGGAAATTCATGTAATTTCTGAGCAAAATCTTGTAAGTTTTTCATGGTCTTTTTCCATCAGCACTCTAAATGAGAGAAGATTAGTTTTCCTTTCTTCTTCTCTTACTCTTCCGGACTGCAATGCCATATCTCAAGGTGCTGGAGCTTCACACAAGCTTCTGAATACTGAGATGCAAAGATATGTTTTAGTTTACCACATCCCCACAAGATCAAATGTGTTAAATTTTCAATGGAGACATTTATGGAAGTTTATTGTGCCAATCTTTTGAATATTAATTTCAGTCAGTCCAACACCTCCATCCTGAAACAGAATCTGCGGAATGCTCATGCGTCAATATTCCTTTGTATAATTAAAAGAGTTCAACTTTTTTATAATGACACATGTGTTATGCTGGAAAAGTAGTTATGGCGCCTAGCCTTAAGTCAGCATGGTGTTAGAGTTATAAGTAAGGTTTCTACAACCGTTCGGAAAAACTGTAGCCATGTTGCGTGATGACATGATTAGCATGCTCCTCCTGCTAGTATATGGGTAGCGCCAGTTGGCTAAGTTGGAACCCGATCCACATGTCCATCCTGCCTAATCGAGGAAATCACATCAGGCAGGTGGAGCAATTGGACGAGAGAAGGATCTTGATTGACACATCTACCCACTCCAATATATTAAGTAATTCATTACCTTAATCATCCCACAATAAATAAGGCTCTCTCTCCGATTTTTGGGAATTAGCTAATTTGTTACAATAACATTAAATAGCAACTCTCTCTCTCACTCCCTCTTGTATTCTCTAATCTAAACTCGCTAATCGCTAATCGCAACCTAACTTCACTCATTCACAATCCGATATCAGTGGATGTAGGATTTCACCTTTGAGCATCGGAACCCCTAACATTGTTCTTCAACCTGTTATTTCACTAAATACTCCCATAAATCACGTGTACTTCTGAGTCTGCTTAGGCATTTTCCACATGCGAATATTGGTGGTCCAAAATCGACAGCAACAGTTTGGCATGTTAGAAGGAGGGCCGATTTAGTACTGTTCTGTCATTTAAGAGAAGATACTTTCTGACTATCGATCCCCACTACCGTCCAATGCGTCGCTGTTTCGAATACATGAGCGAAAACCAATTAATGGTACGAAGAAATCCCCCATGAAGACAAGAGGACACTTCTCCCGAGGTGCCCTCAGCCAAAGCAAATTTCATGGGGGATATCCCTATCACTCACGGCTTGATCCAGATGTCCTGATTACTAATGGAAAAGGTTCAACAATACATCTCC